CCCCGCCGATTCACATTTGAACGCTGTGTCAGTCCGCCGGACAATCGGGACAATTTCCCTCTCTATCGAATTCGACTGGATTTTGCTTTGGAAGAACGAAGGAAAAGAATCAGAATATTATTTGGTCGCGATCACGACCAACGGCTAGGGTATTCAATAACAGAAATTAATGTTAGCTCAGCAAAATACATTATGGTTTGGTTATCAAACCATACGATCTGTGGCTACGATTGATTGTATTCGTTATGAAGATATGATGCTGATCGTTTAAATGTTACTTGGTTGGTTGTTCGAGAATTCGCGTCAGGTATAAAAGCAACCTAGAAGATTATGAACACGAGGAATTGATTTATGGCGAAATCAAATGATGTATAATCTATGAATACTGATCTATGATCTATGAATATTGATTTAAAGCATTGATAGTACCTTTACGGTCTTCATAACTTTTTGATGAACAAATGTACTGAAATATAACAGATTTAAACAATATAATTCAAGTCTGTGAAGGAAAAATGCGACCAGATATGTCCAAATTAAAAATTAATATGTCTGAATTTATTAATGATTCCTCTAACGATTATTATATACATATATGATTATTTTTTATTTTCTAAGAATCTAATTTTTCGAAATGTATTCAATTTTATTTTTATCAATAAGCAAGTTTATAGGGAAAAGCTTCTGAAATATTAAAATATTGTATTAAACTTTGTATTGTAAAAAATGGACATTGAACGCGGCTGTGAATAATTCTCTGCGATGAAAATAATTGAACAATGCAATACGTCGAATGATCTGTTCTCGGAATTTTTCCTCGTTCATTAGATAATTCTCTGACATTCACGTGTCGGTTATCAGTGTGTTGAATCTGTAATCAAGATGAATTTCGCCTTAATCTGTTCGGTGACATTAATTGTTTGACATTAATAATTGTCAAACGACGCCGTCAACATTTATTTTGATCACAGAGCTATCGTGCCGCGACTCGAAAATAACGATTTGCGTTCTGATTCACATTCTCACTGACCAGACTGGCTTTGTCAGTATTTATCACAGTGAAACTACTGTGACACATACATACGCGTACGTCATCACATTGATATAATTCTGCTGATTCGTCATCAACGCATGACATTTCTGTTACCGAAAGTAGAATTTCACTTGAGCTGTCCGTCTAAAAGTCTTCTGATTTGTATATATTATATAAACATTACTTTCAGTATTATGTATGATTTGATTTGAACAAGGAATCAACAAGGAATTTTAGCAATGAGAAAACGAATTAACAAAGAAATGCAAAATTAACAAAAAATTGATAGTAATTAATTTTTCTTATGTTTCTTCAGATGAAATGCGCGCGTGATAAATAGAATCTGAAATTAATCTTTCTTCCAAATATAATAATACTCTTCAGTATCGCGTAATAAATAAATAAATTAATTGTTTAAAAATTGAATTTAACAAGGTTTAGATACTAAATTACGAAAGAACACTTCATGAAAATGAAAAGACATATGCGGAAAGAACGCTTTTGTTGAAGTGCGTATCTAAAAATTTAGCTAGAGATACAAATCTGAAAATAATTTTATTAGATCATCAAAACAATTATGTATAACGCTTAAACGTAGCTGACAATGTTCCAAAAAGTTTTAATTTTCTAATAACTAATTTGAGCGTCCTACATAATTATTTTGATGGTTCAAACAAAATTATTTTCAGATTTGTATTCAGGTCTGTATCTAGCAAAATCGATTCCTTCCATCTATAATTCAAATGTCAAACAATATATTGAAGTAAAATTTAATAAAACGCTCTAATTTTTATATAAAATTAATTTCTTTATGCGTGCTTACATGTTGTCCGAGGAAATAATTCATAGAAGTAATTCATTCGCAAAACTTGCGAGCAGCAGTTGTTCACGAATATTGCTGAGAGTAATTAGCTAAATTGCTACTAATTATCTTTCTCGCGAAAAAATTCCGGTTTTCATTGCTATGCGGTATACTCGCGAGGATAATTAACTGATTGTACACGTGCGATCGATAGTTTGTATGGTCATACCGAGACGGCTAAGAACCGAGAGAAACCGTTCTCGCACCGAACACCCTGAAATGTTAACATGCGTAAACACGCATTCCCTGTGTGCGGACGATCGATATTTCTGATCGTTCTCTCTCGCATTCGAAATAAGAACAAATATATTTCTGCCACACCTATTTTCTGCGCGTCTTTCACATAAGTTTCCCAGAGTTCAACATTTATCGACCCGCGCAGGTATGACAACGTCGCGAGTTTTTAAATTTTCAGTTTAATTTAGAGACGGAAATGTACTGGTTGATCTTTCTCTGACTTGCAAATCGGAACACTTAATATTTACTAGATTTAACTAAAACAAAGAAACTTAACTATTACTCTGTGTAAAACTTGATCAATATTATCTTGAACACAGAACTGCGGAATTACAATGGTTACAATAGTTGCTAAAGTAATGGTGCATTTATCTACGATAAGAATTCTTCGGTACTTTATCTTACCTTTTATTCAACGCGAGCTAAATACTTACTTTCGAGGGTCGTCGTGTCCAAGGTTAACCATTTACGCGAATATCAGTTTTACTCTGCGTGACTATAACTTCTTTAGTCACGAGAGAATAACGGGTGATGCATTTTCTTTGAAACGATGAGCCTACAATGGTGTTTTTTTACTATAAAGAGAGATATAATTATTTAGCACAATAATTATTTATAAGGACTTGTTATCTTTATTATTAAAGACTTTAAATTTATAAATTCATAATTCTATATTTCATTTCGTTGTCTAATGTGCTAATTGCTAAAGATTAATTAAAAATAACTTGGCAATTGTTTTCTTTGCCATTTCTAAATTTTTCACAATTTATGACAGGAATTTAACTGATAAATAGACTTAATCAAATGTATACATCTAATTCTGTCCTTATATGGACAGAATTATTGCATCGTCACAGTTCTTCACACTTTACTGACTTATAAATAAATTTGAACATTTTCTTTCTCAATTAAAATGATGTATAGGTAAGACTGATTTAGGGTAGAGATGAAAATGATCGAAAAAAAAATTAGAGACTTTATATTAAAATCTTTTAAATTTCAATCTTTTAAATTTCAATCTATTTGTTTATTGATTAAAATCTTTATAAAAAGCAGTTTTTTTTTACTTCGACTCTAAAAATTGTTTACCTAGATACGAGCCTAAGTATATTTTTTTGGAGCATTTAATGATTTTGATGCTGTACTATTGATCTAGAATTTAGTTGTTGCATCCAAAAAAAATTTTGTGTAAAAATAGCTTTAAAAGTAAAAATATAGTACAATGATTAAAGTGACAGTGATCCGATGGATATACATTATTGTCTATGATTATTTGAACGATATTTTATACACAGTACTCCCATTTTAAAAGTTAAATAAAAGTTTCATACTGTTATATAATATTAACGCTGATTTCGTTGTATAGGGTAACTTCGGTATATACGCCGCACCTATCAAAAACTTAATTTATTAAATATTATTTACTATGTTTAAAATAAACGAACTATATCAGTAAAAACTTTGTACTGTCTACTACTATGAAAAAAATATTAGAAATCCGAAATATATTTACTTTTCATATTAAAAAATGAACTTTTTGAAATCCTTGCATTTTTGCCGTATATCCCATAGGGATGGGATATATGGCTACTCATAGGAGGAGGGGGATATGTACAGCTTATGAAAAATTTACAAATAATGCTTATAAATAAGACGTAAAATGACACAATAACTTATAAAATGCGTTTATAAAGTTTTATTAAGGAATAAGAATGATAAATATGTATATGAAGTAATAAATAATAATCACAATCTTCCTATATATATTACAAGTGTTATGACATGAGGTATATATTTCATGTAATGCGTTTATTGCATTTAGTGCACTGAATTCAATCTGCGCAGTTTGTATGCTTTGGGCATAAATCCCATTCGCTAAAAATGCCGTATATCCCAAATAGATGGAATGTACAAGACAACCAACTAAACAAAGAATACGAAAGCGAAGCACTTGTATCTTGTTATACAACATGCTTTATTATTCCTCTACACGTATTCCTCTATCACGAAATAACCACTAAGTCTTTTACACGCCCTACAGTAATCATTTTATGTAGATTGTAATTTATGATGGCGCTTACTTATTACAATGATAAATCGATTCAATTCACAATAATTTCATTAATATTAACAGTTAGAAGCTGAAATCATAACACAATACTAATATAAAGGCATATAACAGAGTAGTTGCGAGAAAATTACCCCCACTCCTTCTATTTTTTCTGACTTCTGCGGCGTAAGTCCCAGTGCGGCTTATTTGCCGGAGTTACCCTTGGTTGCAATTATACATATTCTAAATTTAAATTAGAGAGACAACGTTCATCGAAATATCTTCAACTATTTTTTAATAGATATTATGTCGGGACATTGCCTCAATAATTAAAATTTAGAATACATACAATTATAATACAAACAAGTATACGACAACACAGTGTCAATTTTACTAATGAAGTATTATTTGTTGACGACATTATGGGCCATTGCTTGATTAGCTTTTAAAATCGGAGTAAAATATCTATTGTTCAAACAATTATCAACGGTATTTAGATCTGTTGAACAATTTAATGACAAATATCAAGAAAAATTAATTCTTTACATTGTTTATAATTCTATATTATTATAGTTAATAAAACGGTTTTACAGTAAGAAACCCATTTTTTATTTGATGCTTTTCTTCGAAGTAAAAAGACTTGTTTTTTTCATCTTTAATTTAAAATAATTAAGCAATTGTTTGTTTGCCGTTCCTAATTTTATAAAGAAAACTTGCAAATTTATTTGATCAATTTAATTAAATTAAAGATAAAATTATTTTGTCACAGTTTTAACTTGTATTGTATATAAATTTGAATGTTTTTTTTTAAATAAAAGTGCAATATACGGGGCCGACGATCGTGCGCGAGGGACAACCTTGGAACATCGAGTGCAACGATTTGAAGGACGATGATCTCGTTAGATGGACCAGGAATGGTCAGACGTTGGAACCTGAGTTGTCCAGTGGTCAGCTAGTTGTTTTTTCAAAGACCGACGCCGGCAGCAGCAAACTCTCGGCTTCCCAGGCGACTGAGAGTCACGAAGGAGATTACAAATGCACCTCCGACAGTGCGGAGTCTTTCCACCTGTCGTTATACTTTGGTTCGTAATGTTATGAGTATATATGTCATTATTTTGATAAATTATACTCTAATCACCTAAAAACTCTGTCAGTTAGAAAATTCTACTATAAAGTTTTTCCGACACCCTGTACACATTTACGTCAGCATTTTTCCCTCTATGCGACAATATGACGCGCGTTTATTACTGTTTCCATTAAAAAGATTAGTATATTTTGCTATTACACACCTACACATAGACTTATGCTCGTTTTCATCAATGTAATGTTTAATCTCTGTTCAACTGACTCTTCATCTTTTTCTAAGAATTAGAAAGATATGAAGAGTAAATTGAATCAAAATTAAAGTTGATCTACGTTGGTGAAAACGGGTATTAATATTTTATTATCACGTTTGTTATGTACGTGTTTATTGTAGATTCGAGTCTGATAAATAGCTAAATATCAATTATCGGTTAAATTAATAAGTCAAGTATTTACACCTCTACGAAGATACGTGGCCTATATCTGAAATCTTTTCTCGGTAATCTTTTTTCTGTGATAATATTTGATAACTGATATTCTGCCTCGAAATAAACTCCCAGTTATTGCTTTATTGCATGTAGAATTATTATTTTATTCATTTTTTTTCTCAATGTATTCTCCGACAAATTCATGAATATTTATTGCATTATTTATCGAGCGTATTATATTAAAACTGGTAACGTTAATTATCACACACATCTACATGCAAGCGTTAAGAACATGAAAGATTTATGTTGATTACGTAATAATAATATATCTCATTATTATAGAGTATTCAAATCGTCCTTGTACATTTGTAAATAATTAATAATCCATGTTGTGTATGTAGAATTGAATTATATGCACATGAAATTCTTACGACAGAAAAATTCGTTACTTATCATTATATTAATCATATGTCTCGCGTATAAGATAATCACTATGTCTTACGTCATACTTTATTATAGATAATAAAAATTTTAATTTTGTTGTAACTGATATATGCAACGTTTACACATTACACATTATTTTTTTTCTTTGACATCATAATTGCATGGTTAAAAATATAAATAATGGTATACCGAAAAACATCTTTTTGTTTGGCGCAGATATTAAGATTAGAGTACTTATGGCCAGAGACATACCTTTGGTGCTCGAATGTGCAAACAGAAGCGCCGGCGATAAAGTGCTATGGCTGAAGGACAAGACACCGTTAAGCACGGCGTTTGCTGGCAACGAAGATATCATCAAGATTGATAATGAGACTGGCAGCCTGGAAATTTTAAAGGATAAGGAGGAAGCTCATGGAAATTATACTTGTAAAGCGGCTAACTCCACAATCGAATACAGAGTCGTACGTGAGTACTCTGCTACAATGTTTCTAGATTTATAGAAATATTGTTAGAAGCAAGCGGCTTACGCTGGAAACATTGTATGAATTTAGTCGCCACTGTTAAGGTACCTACTTTAAAAAAAGAGAAAACCAGTTTTTTTTTAAAGATATTTTACCGGAAGAAGTTTTGATTTTACATTCGATGCTCTAAAATTTCAGCAAGGCCAATGGCGCATCTGGTTGAATCTACCAATGTGATGGAGGGTGAAAAGCTACACTTGGTGTGCAGCAATCTTCGGTATAGCCCCGGCGTAAAGATATACTGGACCTTCGGGGATCAAAATTATACACGCAGTAAGGATCGCGTGAAAATCACCAAAGATCCAGAGAGGGATATTTATGGCGCCGTTCTGACTGTCGACGACATCAAGATGAACGATCGCGGTAATATTATCTGCAGAATGTCATACAACTGGTCTGATCCCGTATTGGAACATTCATCGGAGGCCAAGACATTCCTCAGGGTGAAGGACAAGCTTGCTGCACTCTGGCCCTTCTTAGGCATTTGCGCGGAGGTTGTTGTTCTGTGCGCCATTATTCTAGTGTACGAAAAGAAGCGGAACAAAGCTGAACTTGAGGAATCCGATACCGATCAAAGTCCTGATACGTAAGTGTGTTTTGGAATTTGATTATCCCTTTTTTTATGACATATTATTTTATGAAATGTAGAATTACGATTTTGTATTTCTGTTCGACAGAAATTCATTATGCAGTCTTTGAACTTAGTCCTAATGATGAACTCTCGGAGTGATATATTCCTTTACATGAGCCTCTCCCATCCGATTTACCTCTAATACCACAGTTCCAATTCACCAGCAGCATCCATTTTAAGTCTACCTTGGATAAGTTTCAGAAACAACATACTCTAAAATCGGCTTCAACTTGGCTAAATTATTTATCTCGATTGTTTACAAAAAGAAAAACGTAGATGAAGATTATTTTTCCTACTCCATTTCAATTCTATTCTACTTATTTATAATAAAACTGCTTATTTATATTATTTATAAAATATGACATAAATTATATTAATGACGAACGCTTTATATATTCTTGTGCGTAGTTACTACTTTGCCTGATATTCTGCTTTCATTAAATTTATAGCAAACCGACACCTAACAAGGAATCCGATGTCAGGCAGAGGAAGTGAAACAACAAGTAAATGAAATAGAACGGTACGATAAAAGTTGGAGAACGGGTCGTCATGTGTAGAGAGCTGCAATGGAAATCTGTAAAGACAACGGAACACGGCTTTTGAATGAGAGAGAGAGAAAGAGAGAGAGAGAGAGAGATGTGTCGTCATAAATGTGGAATAAACACTGCAAAATGGACAGCAGCGAGCTTGAGTGGGCCATTCATAGTGCGCACCTGTGTGAAAACAGGCGTGTGCAGCAGACGCGTACAGAGCAAGATCACACAAGTTACTAACAAATTAAATTAAGCCTTATTACGGGGGTGTTCACTCCGTTTATCAGATGTTCGCCTGTTCGTATTCTTTAACTACACTGCTTTAACCAAAAGATGTGTCGAGTTATGTACAAGTGCCGATGATGACACGAGTGCGTGCCAGGGAATGGAGGGTATGTGCGCGCGTGTGTGCGTGTGTGCGTGTGCGTGTGTGTGTGTGTGTGTGCGCGCGCGTGCGCGCGCGCGCGAGAATGTGTGTATGTATGTGTGTATGGGAAAAAAAGAGGGGGAGAGAGAGAGAGAGAGAGAAATAATGCGTATGAGTGACAAGCTAACAAGTAAACAGACCGATAGATTAAAAAAAAGCAGAGATAAAATGCAGAGATAAAATATGGCGTACCCACCGAGCGCGAATACGTGCGCGATTACATATAATTTCTTACAAAACGCTTCGAGGTGCATTCTAACGAGCACCATAGTTCAGTCACGCGTTTACTCGTCACATACATCGCTCTATTGTTCCGCGCGGCGTTTGCATTCGCGTTCGTGGGTATGCCATTATTATTAATATTAGATTCGTAGAACTCGTTTCTCAAACTTCGCACGTGTGACCGAAGAAAAAAAACTTATGGTAGAGCCGAACATATGTGCTCGATACTAGTTATGTAATAATAGGGAACGCGGGCAGTGCGTGCCACAATTGACTTCCGGATGTATGCTCGCGTACTTTTAGAGATCGCAAGAGAGAGAGAGAGAGAGGGAAAGTTTATCTTTGGCGTCGCCTTATATTCCATCGCTCGTGAAAATATTTCGGAAGTCTGGCTGCACGCGACGCCGTTGTTAATGACATTAATGTAATTAATACTGTAATATTATTGCCATCGTTACTACTGCTGCTGCATCTATCGTTATTATAATTATTACAAGTATTATATCGTTAATTTTATCACTCTATTGTAATAATTTATAATCCGTACCAACACGATTATCTATATCCACAATGTCGTCATTGTCACAAGCATTACAATTTTTATCCATAACGATTATTATTAACCGCTTCGTAAGTATTTTGCTTGTTTATCGTTATGATCGCGCTACCGCTTCTCTGAAAACTGATAGACCAACTGCATAAGTAAAACAGTATGGAAATAGGATTTTAAAGAAGGTAATCCATTAAAGAAATTCAGGACGCATTTTTGTTTAAAAATGTACAAATGTTTTATTGCTCAAACGCGCGTTCTCGCTTGCTCTTTAGAGTAGATGATGTAAATGCATCCCATTGAGCATGTCGGCATTCTATTACGCGATATAAACAGACGCATCGAATGAGATAAACTTAGGTACATGTTTTTTTTATCGGTATTTGAATTTTCGAATTTCAGGATTATTGAATCCTGTTATTCTAGGATCCGTGGGTCTTTCAAGTCTTATTTACTTCATGTTAAGTTATATGGCCCTTGGATCTTTCTTGAATCTTCGAATACTTCCTGCTAAATCGTAAGATTCGTATTTTGGACCCAGGGATCCTCGGACAGTTCGGACTATCAGATTTTCGACTACTATATGAAATTTACTTATATAATTGTACAGTTTCTCTACCGCAAAAGCACAAAAGTTTGACGAGAGTTCATGCGCTCTATACAGAATTACAGGGCGCGGGCCCCATGGATATTTTCTTTGGTCGTAAGCGCCACTTCTATGCTTCCTACGGGACAATTTCTCTCCCCGTTTTCTAAATCCAGCGACTCGATTCAGTTGGATCTTCAGGGGAGAGAAATCACGGGGAAAGAGAAAAAAAGAAACAGATAAAATAGCACCGCACAGGGGTTGCGTAGTCCTTTCTTCGCGACCTCTGTCACTACAACTCGGATATGTACAGATCGCTTCGATGAAGCGAGTAAATCGTTTTCTCGCGATTTTTGATCTGAACTTTCTCTTGATTACTTCGGCTGGTTGCTGTAATCCACATAAACGCGCACAACCTCGCCGCTATACTTTCGCTGGCTGGGCATGAAGTAGAAGTCTGGTTGATTCGCTTGAGTTGCTATGCCTGAATTGTGCATGCTCTTAGGTCGCCCGTAATGATCCCTGCGATCTTGCGTATAGTAACCATGCTGGATAGGCGCCGAGTGTCTGGCACCGGGAGCGCGTGGAAGACTGTAAGTCGCTCTGGGTCCGACCATCCTGTTGGGCCCTTCGACTGCATCGGTACCGTTCATGCCAGTCATGCCGTTGCCGGTCATCTCCCTGGTTCTCGGCAGGCTAGAAATCGGGGGCGGCGGCGCCTTCTCTTCCGTTTCGAACGCCTCAAATGCGAAGTTTGTGTTCGCGCCGGAAGCGTAATCCTTCCAGGCATTACTGGCAATCAAACGTTCCTGCGCAAAAAGATATGCTTAAAATGTGAAATATGTGCGTAGATAATTTTACCAAAATTTTATTTTTTTAATCATACCCTCGTCATTTCTTTATCAGAAATTATAATCTTATGTATTTCACACATATTTGTTCGTCAATTGGCACAACAAAAAATATTTGTCCACGATCTGTCGACGCATATATTTAAAAAATAGAAATATCCAAGTGTGTGTGTGTTAATTTAATCATCCTATATTAGTGGAAAAAAAATCAAACGGAAGAGTTTGGTAGCGAAGTCATAAAGGCGCAAAAATGTGCGATTACAAAGAGTTAGGAAGAACCAGATAACAGCGAGTTAGTCAAATACTTGGGTTAGAGCGAAAGAACATAGGGATGAGTGTGACATTGCGCACCGATTATACTCGACGAGAAGCTCTACCAGCTGGGATTAGCTCGATGCAATTCAGACGAAGCGTAGTGATGCCGAAGCTGATGTTGATGATGATGATGGTGGTGGTTGGTATTGTTGTTGTTGTGATGGTGATGATGATCGCCGTTTTGTTGTCGATGGTACCGCGCCGCGTTCGTACGATGAATCGGGTTGGACGCATCGGAGGAAGCCAGAGGCAGCGTGTACACCCTCTTTTTTTGGTCGCGGGAAGCGCGAATCATGCAACACAAGCGAAGCAAAAGATGTCGGGTTCATTAGGGGATGGAAGCGTAGTTTTTACACTACAGAATGTCCCAAGAAGACGTACGCGAACAGCAATCTGATCTTTCAGGTTGTTTTCGCGAAGTAAGAGAAGAAAAGAGAAACCTGGTATCCTCTAAATGTATTATGATTCTTTTATAATTCTACGATTAGGATTTTTTTAGCATCGAGTTATTTTAATTAGTTACGATATTACAGTTATTTAGTTAATATTACTACGATAAGTGCAAGAGTTCCATCAAAATGATGCTTAAAGGCTATTTTCCTCCGGGATAGAATTCCGATAGCGTTATACATTTTTCTTGGAACACGTTAGGGATCACCACAAGATTTCGTTAGAGAAGGAGCAGAACACAACACTCAGGGGGAAGACCTGGGATGCGAGAAAAAGTGGAGAGAAAACAAATATGTGAAGAAGAACAAAAAGTTTCTAACGCACACAGAACATACCTTGGTTGCTCGTTTTCTTGAGCTCCTGTAGATAGTACAACTGGCTTGGAGCAGAGCGAGAGCTAGCAACGCTGCTACACAACCAACGACGATATAAAACTTCGTCGCGCTCAAGAACAAGTACGTCGCGGAGGGCGGCCGATCATTTTCATCTTCTGTCTCTATGTCGTTTACTGAAAATAAATATAATACATATTTTTATCTTGTGAAGTAACGATAGATCAATGGGGATGATGAGTATCTTAAATAATGTGAACAAATCTCCATTTCTTCGTAATATTAGCACTTAAAAAATGCTACTTAAAGCTATATAATTGAATCATACAGTTCTTGAAATTTTAAGACGATTACTGTTGTAATATCTGGAAAAACCTGAACAAATCTTTATTTCTTCAAAAAAGATGAAAAGTCATCTAATTTTGGATCTCAGTCTAAGATGGAAAATTTATCGAAGGAAAAGAGAGTTTTGTGTTAGAATTAGTATATATGATATTTAGGATTAGTTCACAACTCACAGTTAACTCTTAACCAAGATTCAACTTATTCCTCATTTCTTTTCAGTTCTAGAATTCTAAAGATGAGGAATCCCACATAGCACACAGCGCCTATAAAGCGTAAAAAAAACACTAATAAGGTATATAAGCGCTTTTTTAATTAGCGCTTTGTAGGCGCTGCTGTGCTATTTGGGATAAGTTAAACTTCGATTAGAGTTAACCATGAGTTATGAAACTGGGCTTTAGAACCTCAGTTGAAACAGTGCTTACCTCTTGGTGTTCTTACTATTAAGTATTGCGGATCGACGCCGAGTATACCGACTTGACCGGTCACGACCGCCTCGCGCAACGCTTTTTCCACTTCTAAACCGGTGTCAGCGGGTTTTAACGATCTACCCTTGATTTCGTTCTTGTCGATTATTAGGTTCATGCGCGCAATCACTCCCCGTTCGTTATCTCTGCAACAAGAACAGAAGGGAGTAGTACTTAGCAAACTTGTTTCTTGCTACTTGTTTTTGTCACTCTTTTTTGCTGTCTTACTTTCGTAATTCGTTGAGATGGACGTGATGGTAACCCGGAAGCATCTTGAAGACCGGTTCAAAGCTCTCTGATATCTTGTTCGAGATTAGTTTGAAATCGGGACTATCGGATTCGGGAATCACAAATCCGTCACCCAAGCTGACGAGCTTGATTTCAACATCGTAATAGAATCTTGGAGGTGGGACCGTGCTTTGATCTTCAATTTCTAAGTGGACAGTTGAATGATTTTCTTAATATATATGTATAATCGCAGATATATTTTGAAACACAATAAATTAGCATTAATCATATACATTAATAATCATAAGAAATGATGTTTTAACGAAAAATTAATTAAGTAACAATTACATTCTAATAACAATTGGACAAGAAAAATTTCGCTAATATAATTAAACAATAATACATTAAATCAACGTCTTTTTAAAAATTATATTGTGCGTCAATAGTTGTATCGGACAACTTTAACAAACAACAAAAATACAGTAATTGATATTTACCTTCTTGGCCGCAAGACTTGATACATATTCTATCTGAAGAAACGACCGGTTTTACGTCGTGTTTTCGAATCTTCTTATTGATCGGATTAAATATGCCTCCTTTCACCGGGAACATCATATATAAACAGTGATCATCTGTAAATGAAAAATCTTTGACGTCTTTCGTTACGCGCTTTCTAGAGAACCGGAGGGTGGTTACGCCATTTTCGATGCGACCGCTGATGTTATATACGTCTTGTGATGGATCTAGCAACGGTGCATTGTAGCCGCTGATCCAGGTGTCCATCACGAAAGCCTGACCTTTTGTCTTATCGACCCAGCCGAGTATGGCATCGGTTTGTGACTAAAAAAAAAATACAATACTACCTGAAAATTTCATAAGCTCCGACCTTCCTCTTTAAGCGACACATTTCTTTTCAAGGAGAAAACAAATTCGTTAAACAAATTATCGAGAGAAAAAACAAAGTTTTGTCTCTTTATTTGACAAAGTCTTACCATGTTATTGTCATCAGAAAATCCAACGCCGGTCCACGTATTGGTATTTGTCGTGGAGATTACGAACGTTATTAGATCCTACGAAAAAAAAGTATTCATAATATCAGTTTCATCAGAGTAGTTTTATCTACACAAAAGGAAACGCCAAGGAAATATGAGAAAAATTACCGTTTTATCCTTGTATGTCCATTGTATAGCATATTCACAAGTGTTATTTTCCGGTGAGCAATTTCTTGGATAACGCCACTGGCCACCGCAGATACCATCTTGCGATACTACACCGCCAGCGAATTCCGGTCTTTTAACTTCATCTGAACCGTTCAAAATATTAAATATTATAATCCAAATATTTAATGGACACGTTATATAAAAATAAAGAATGTTTTAAGAGTTAATAAAACATTTTTTCTGCATAATAAAAATTATTAATAATGATTCAGAAAGACCGAACAAATATACTTAAAAGCGAAAAGTTTTGGAACGCATTGAATCGACATTCACAGTACACTAAAGGCGTCATTGATGCCTTTCAGCTTGAAA